TCTTGCATTGTGTATTCAGGGAGTGTTTGCTTTTTAAATAAGATCAATTCTGTGTCACAGTTCTGCTGCTTGTACAGAGTGCGCAAGTCAAATATTAACAACCAGCTAGCTTTTTTTTAATCCCTTTCTGATGTACAGGCTGATCATGTATGTCTGTTTTTCTTGTCCGTGCAGAAGTTGAGAATGCCAAGCGGGGACTTCAAGGAGGACAGGCTTACAACATCAGCACAATCCACCCCAAGTGGCACCCCTTCTGTCACCCCCTCCGTCACCCCCAGTGTCACCCCCTGTGTTAGTCCCCACACATCACCGGCTATTAGTCGCAGGTATGGATTATGCTGCTAAATTTTTAGCTCAAATTTAAAATGTTGTGTTAAAATGGGTGGAACTGACCTAATCATAACATGCTTCATTTCCCAACATGGTCATATTGGGTGCCATATGGCATATCCTGTTTGCTTGTATGTTCATGTTTTGCTCTTGCTTGGTGGGAATACAGGACCTGGTTCCAGCTGAGTCCTGCGCCTTTTCTTGCCATCCCAGAGCCCAACAGTAACCCCAGCACAGACATGGGAGGAAATGAGGGAGGAGGAGGAGGAGGAGGAGAGAGGTGGAACTTCTTTGGAACTCGATCTGTGGTACAGAAGTCCCCCACTGACCCAGGCTCTGAAACCAGCACAGGTTAGAGATTTACACCCAGTCCTGCATCTGGATCATGACTGTATTGCTGTGTTGCAGTATTTTTATGTTATATTGTTGCACAGTAGATTGTATAGTTTCCTGTAGCTGTAGGTTGAACTCTGTGCCACAACAAATGTGGTGAGGCCCTGGGTTTTGCTCTTTGTCTCTGAATACAATAGTGCTGGTTCCACTGCCACAGATGCAACTGAATAGCTCTTGAAATCAGTGGGGAATTGCCAGTGACATGGTAGGGCTATTGAAGCCACAATATGTGCTCCTTATGTGAACAAAAGGGATGCCTCACCACCCAAAAATTAAGATGCACAATGGGAACCTCCTTACAACTTATTAGACTGTTATATTGTTTTAACACAAAAACCTATTATACAAGTAAAACATAAGCATCATTAATGTGTTCTGAGGCTTGTTTCACTTCTGACCACACCTGGGTCTGGTTTAGAAGTTTTCTTTTTTTTTTTTGCACCTGAAACCACACCCAATAGTGATGTCACATGGTCCTGGTCCTCATTTATTATCATTGTGCATCACTGCAGCAAGGTGAAAAGTGAAACCACTGGAGATCGGGGGGGTTAAAAGTTACTTATGACACTAAAGCTGATTTAATTAATGACAATCTACCACTTCCCCTCTCTACTGCAGGCTTCTCACTTCAGTCCTACTTCGGCATGCAGAAGTCCTCTACTATGGATGGCAGTAACACGCAGGTGAACTTCAAGGTGGATGACCCTGCCAACTTCATGCCCCCCAAGATTGAGATCTCGGGCATTGAGGCCAAGCGGGCGCCCCCTCGGCCACACAAACTTAAACCTCGGGACATGAATGTTTTAACACCTTCAGGTTTCTGAAGCCAGACCAGCTGTGTAGTTACATCTCTGTCTAACCTCTGCTCATTTGTTTTCCCGTCTCTCTCTCTCTCTCCTCCGCCTCCCTTCAAATCCACTGAGGTTGAGAGGAATCAGGACCACCTTTAGGGTTAGCTCACCAGCCTCTGTGACTTCACCGCACTGTTACTCCTCCCAGTGGACCTACATAGATGGATTGCTATCTTCTATTAGTCCACACCCTCCCCCACCTATCTCTCCCAACTCATTGGTCCAAATAAAACACCATATGAAGTAACTTAATTTGTCATCCCTAAAGATGGCACTGCTTTGTATTATTATTGTTGTTTTGTCATGTAATGGGTGCACTGGCATGCATTGCCTTGCTGTCCTCGTTCCATTGTCAGTGCTGGCTCGAGAGTGAAGTTATTGAAATATCTTGTCAGCCCTTTGCTCAAGTTAATCACTGTAGCATCGCCAATCATACTGACCAGCTATTTCAATTCATAATGCTCAGTTGCCTAATTTGTATTTTTATTTTTTTTTATTTTAAATAGGCTCACTGATTTGTAGTTGTGTAGTGCTTTTGTCTGTGAGCATGCAGAGTATAGTGTGGTATGACTGATATTGTGCCTAAACTTGCAGCGTGTTTGCTTTCTTGCCATCTAAGCTCAGCTTTTTTTCCCTTTTTTTTTTTTTTTTTTTATGTGCAAGAGCATCTTATTTTACTTTGTGAGAGTATGACTGCTGACCTGAAGTGATTTATTTTTTATTATTGTTACTTACAACTTAAGTATTTTCAGATTGTTCTGCTTTAAATCAACATTGTTCATTCTAAATAGTAGTGGCTTTATTACATTTTTATATTTCATCTCAATATAGTTTCAACATGCTATAAAAATACAAAGCATTGAAGTGGTCATTTTTAATTTATAATTTTTTCTGTGACATCACAAGAACCCCTGCTGTTTTATTTCAAAAAAGTTGATGAATTCCAGTAAGTAACTGCACAAGGAGATTGTCTCCCACTTACGTCTGTAAATAAATCTGATACTAACAAGCAAAAATGGTTCTCTGTTTCCTTTTTTATATGCAAACATGGAAATATAAGTACATGGTAAAATCACCCTACTCCCTTATACTGTGCGCATTAATTAATAAATTGATTCCATATATATTCACACTGTTAGGGAAACATTGTTTTGTGATTAGCATATGCAGTATTGTAGCAGTTACGTCTCAGATGAAGGGTGTTGTTGACGGAGTTTTCAGTGTCACACAGGATTTCCTTATGTATTTATGGTTGCCTAATAAACTAGCAGAATATGAACTGTGCTGAGAAAGTACAGCATAATCATCGGACTGAACTGCTATTTAGGGTACACGGGCAGTGATTCAGACACCTGAAACATAAAGCAGGCATAATATATATTTCTATATTACATTTTCCTTGACGTGGAAATTGGCACCAATCTTAATTTTCCATTGCCATGCTATCAGCACATGAAGGTGAAATTTGACCCCTCTGGTGTATTTTTATGCCCACCTTGAGTTACAGTATTTGGCCAGAAGGTGGTGCAATCAGCTCAACATGGTAAACACAGGGTTTTATATTCATTAGTTTGACTTTTATATTCCATGTGTTATACCACTCTAACTTTGATTATAATCAAGAACATTAATTAATATGCTCAAATCAAATTAAGTAGCAATGATAGCCATAGTAGCCATAATTAAAAGTGTGATAGATAATCAGGAAATTAATTTTCCCCCACAGACATTAAGGGCAGAGGTATCTTTCTGTTGACTAGTCCACCAGATCATCTGCTGTGTATACACTGATTTAATCAGTCTGTGAGACTGATGTTATTGTAGCAGCAATTATATTGTCAGCAATACTGCACAATAGCTGAATATTATTAACTACCCAACCAAAGCAAACATCCAGGCCACCAGAAAAAGAGCCAGTAGGTAGAAACAGTAGAGAGCAGAGTCCATACATACCCTGAAGGCTTAGCAATGAACTGGATAAGTTTACAGCCTTGTTAGAGGTCTTAGCAGTTATTGTCTGGTGCTCTGTTTAATGTGTGTGAGTGAGAGAGACAGCAGGAGTGTGTCTTTGTGTGTGCATGTGGCACATTTATTACAGGGTGTGCCTGTTGCTCTTGTTTTGTTATTTTCAGAATCGTACCAGGGTGCAGAACATATGCAACACATACAGAACATATTACATGTTGAGTATAAGTCAATAATGAATCTTCCTTTAGATTTAGTGCTGTAGTTGTTACAAAAGCAAGACTGTGACTAGAGGCCAAACATCCTTTCTCATCAACTTTAAACTTTGACTTTCTTTTATCTAGAAATTAGTTGGCGCTCATAAAGGGAACGCTCCTTTGCATAATTACAGGCTGCTCAGTGTCCGCTTCTGGTTTTCAGATGGTGCTACAGGACAGAAGGTTAACATCAGATGAAACAGGCAAGTGCAGACAGAGAACGGTCAGTCAAAAGCTGGAGGTCGACAGTCATTAGTGGCAAAGAAAGAGATATACAGACCAAAACTAAGAGGCAGAAGGAAGATGGGATGAAGAAAGTGTAGCCATGGAGAAAGAAATTTGGTTTAAAGTTTTGGTAAAAGTGCAAAAACAGAGATATTCTGTCTTGGTTCACATTTCTGTGGGAGGCATGCATCATAGCACATAAACAACTGGGCTGCGATGACTTTGTCGCTAACACTAAACCAAAAACACACACAGCAGTAACGCAAAGGCAAGAGAAACAGTGGGTGGGGGAGTCTGGGAAATGGGGAAATAGAGAGCAAAGGGTGGAGTGCTATGACATAATACAGATGGCTCTCTCTTTGGGTCCGACATGACGTGGTTGCGTAGCCCTCTCTTTCTCGGGTCCCTGCCCCCCCGCTGCTCTGATCCCACACAAATCATTTAGCTCACTCACAGATGTGTGATGGTAAGCGCCGCCCTGCCGGAGTGACCACGCACCAAACAGAAACACCTCAGCCTCATCTGCAATCTGATACGACAGAGTCACTTACTCATCCATAGTCCATTTTGAAAAAAAAGTCTAGCCAAATTCCTTCCTTAACAACCCTCAAAACAGTGACTTTTCAGCCCACTAATTATAATTTAATTCCTCACACCCCTATGACACAATGATGTGGGCACAGAAATAGGAAACAATTCCAGTGCCAGTTTACAAGAAACCACAAAATTTTTTTAAGATCAGCGTGCTCCAGTGATCCAGGTTTATGTGTAGCTATTAAAGTCTAAATGTGCACTGTAGGGAGTCCAGCTTTGAGGAACACTGTGTGAACTTTCATCTGATACAGGTAGGAGTTGTGGATCCACTTTATGTCAGTGTGACTCCAAGAACATGCCAGGAAATCCTCTCACCACCTCTTGAGTGCATAAATTCAAGCAGGAGATGACAAAGCTGATACCTGACCAACACAGTAATTATCCTCAAGTGGTGGTCAACTCTTCTCAAGGCTCCTGTGAGATTAGGTATGTGTTACCTTTGAGTTTTCTTTATCAGAAGTTACTTATTAATTTATAAAGAATATCAAGATGAAACAAAAGAAAGCTACTGTGATAAGATAATAATATCTACAGACTGTCACTGGAATTACACTTCATTTACAGCTTCATATACAGTATTACTTATCCATTAAACTCCCAACTTGTTTGTGTAACCAGCGACAACAAATGTCACCAACCACAGTGATGACTAATGTGGTGTAATTTAGTTAATCACATGATGACACAAACAGCTGGTGATATAACTTGACAAGGGATTTGAAGGGGCTCCTTTTTGTGATGTTTGCTGCTGGGTGGGACTCCCTGTGTCGTATTCTACGCCATCTAACTCCCAGAACCACATCTGTGGCTGATTCACAGTGAGCTGGCCCGGAGGTGAACCCAACAAGCTGAGAGGGACCTGACAAAGCTGATGGCTGTTTTCAGGTACTGTATCCTGTGAAAGTAAGCATCAACCATGCCTACTACCTAGGGATAGGGTTACAGTGCTATGGCTATTAACACAGATATAGGTCACACACACACAAATCAGATCAGTGTGCTTTTGTTATGTAATAACAAACAGTTGAAGGCCTACCTCATCATTTGTGAAAGATAGCTCCATGTCCCTGAAGAGCCCCTGATAATGGGAATGTGTAGCCTCTAAGGGCTGCAAATGTCTAAGCAGGACACAGTAAATACTATTTTGAATTTTTCTCAAGTGTGAGGCAAAGTAAGTCTCATATTACCCATGTCGATTCAAAACTTGTCTTAAAAATCATATGTGCAAAACCTTTTGCTAAAAGCACAAGAGATTTCCTTTCTCTTTCCTGCTGATCTGAAACTATCAAAAGGTTGTAAACCTCTGTATCCTGCACTCAAAAGATAAACAAAAAAACAATGGAAAACAACAGACTCAACAGACAACAGACTCTGTCCTCAAAAATGGATGGCCTTAAGGGGATTGGGAAGGCACTGCTTGGTTTGGCTCTTTGTTTTATATATTGTCTTTGAGGGAAAAAAAAGAAAAGAAAAGAAACAGATCAATAGATATATTTAACTAAAAATGTTACCTGTTTCACATAACCCAGTTTCTCTTTGCTTTTCTCCTGCCATCCCCCACTAAGAAAGGGAGAGAGAGAAGCAGAGTGTATTGTTTGGCCCTCCTGTACTGACCCCCAGGGCCTAACATGAAGCAGATGTGGAAGGGAAGATACCCCTACAACAAGGTCTGAACAGTCATTTGGAGGTGCTCCATTCACCAGAGTCACATCCGACAACCAACATTCATTTCACACACACCAAGAGAGCTGCTGATGTCTGAAGAGAAAATACGAGAATGTGCCTGTGTGTGCGTGCTTAAAAATGAAAGGAAAGCGTGTGAGATGATTAATTTCTTGGGAGTGCTACTATAATGAATGAATTTAATACCTACGACATGTTGTGCAACTGATCAAAGTACATAATATATTATATTCTAATGCATGTTGTTCAGGCTGCAATGTTTCCTCTTGGAATCTAGCCAAAGATTAAGGTGTCTCCATCTCCATTCAGCTCTATGGCTCAATCACATCACATATACTGTACATCCATGTATTATGCCTCAAATATCCTGGTTTGTTTGTATTCTACCTGCTATTTTTTGTTATTGATACTTTATTTCAGTTATGAGTGAATGAGTTGATGGATAGATTAATTTGTTTTTCTGTGACATGGGTGTCAGACTTTGTTCAACTGCGATTGCTATAATTCTGTGGACCTGCCCACACTTATTATTGGTGTATCCTCATGAATATTTCTGACATTGTCACTGCTGTGACATCATAACCTGGTATTCAACTGTAATGAGTGGGTGACAATTTGAGAATGTGACTCATTAATGTATAACAATCAAGTACACAAATAACCTAACATACTACACAACATAAGCAAAAAGTCAAAGTCTCGAAAGATAAAAGTTAAGACGAATCAAAATGTTGAAACTCCCTGAAATTCGTTGATTAACTGTGGCAAAACCTCGCTGTTTGCCCATCATTTTATATCATCGTAGTAGTTAAGGAACCTTTGATCTTTGGGGTGGATCTCATTGGATAACAAAGTCATGGTGCACAGGTAATTATACTTATTAATCCCTTAAGCCAGGAGAGGAATGCAGTCCTCTGGCTTCTGTCACCGGTTCTCACTCATGCACATTCACAGCACACCTAAACAAACCTACACATCCCCACATTAAAAATCTCAAAGCTAACATGTGCTATTTTTTTTTATCAAACTTGAATCAGCTGCTGTAGCCATGTACTAATTTATTAAACATTTTAAAACCAGCAAATCAGTGAGATACGCATTTTTGGCACAAACATATTCCCAGTAAAGTAATGCAGAATTTGGGCGTATGTAAGTAAACAGTTGTAAACCACATGCATTTTAATTCAAATCTATCAGTTACACTTCAACACTGACAAAAGATAAGAACCAATATTTTTATCATAAAGTAATGCTCAGCAACTTTCACAAAGGCTTTTAAAACTCTATAGGCTCCAAGAAATGTCTAAAATCAACAGATTTTTCTGTTAAAAACGTTTTTTAATACATTTTTAAAGCACCCTTAGTTATGTGTCCTTGGACTCTTGTGTTCTTACTTGTTTCACACGTTCAAAGAGCTATGAAACTCCTCATAAAACTGTGGGATGCTTCCTTTTGTTCACAGTGTCAGCAAATCTCGCTTCTCCTGTGCACGGATTGAGGACATGTGCCTTCATCTGCTGTGGTGTTTGCCTCTGGCCTGCTCGCTGTGCCACCTGCAGCTTTCTTAACTATTGGTCTGAGAGCCAATACTTCGTAATAGTAAACTGTCTTGAGGTTCTGTTTTACATACAAAGACCAGTGAGTCCTGTGTAGCATTTTCTGGGAAGTTGTACGGACAATAGACCACTTGTAAAACAGTCCATCCCTGTTCTCCTTCATCATGCTCACATATGGTGTGATGCAGTTTGGCTAAAGCGAGGTCAGGCGTGTGACTTGGCGAGACGCTTACACATTCCTCAAGCAGAGACGTGGACAGTAAGTGGACATGATGTGGTCAGAAAAAAACACGAGGACCATTTTCAAACTACTCTGATTCTGGTTTTGTTCCTTTTCTTTTGTCATTATAGGTCTTCCTCCCTACACACCGTCTCAAAATGCCTGTTGGTACCCATTCAACTGACATCTTTTATATGTTTTAAATATGCCAACCACTGTCCAAATGTACCTTACATAGATTATGAAAACCATAGTTTATACAAGAATTGTCCCTCAGATTTTATCTTCTGCAAACGCCCATTATGCATACACAATAAATCCATATAAACCTGTCAATTAGTTTCTATTAATTGTTATTGCTCTAAATGTTGCCTGGCATCAGATCTGAGGACCTTCGTACAGGGAAGACTGGAAGGAGTAGCAGTAAGCAATTAGGTTTAAAATGTACAGATAGGTGCGTGACGTCAGTGCTGGGAAGCTGTTTCAGTTGGACTTTCGTTTCGATAACCTGGTAATACAACATTAGTGCTGTAACAATTTTTTAGTACAACTGTGTCATTCAGTCATTTCAGTTCAATCAATGGTTTTGTGATTTTGAATTTCACAGGACTGTAATTACTGTTACATTTCATCTGGGTATATCTGTTTCATACCTGAGACTATAACTGTTTGATAACTGCTTCCCTGGTATTCATTTAATCCATAAAAAGCTTTCAGTCTAACGACAGGCTATCAGGTAACAAATGTTCCAGAGTCCAGGATTTATTCAGAGGTGATAAGGAAGCAACCTGTATCAGGCAGGGTAGGAACAAAAGAGGTGAAGTAGCCTAAATATGGCCAAGTCGGCCAGTTTCTGTTTGTCCGCGTTTTACTAGAAGTTTTACTTTGTATGAGTTAGTAGGAAGTGTGTGAAGGTTAAAATACCACTCCTGCCCCTATGCAGAAGAATTTGTAATTCTCCAAAACATTTGCAGATTCCTTCCAAAAACAGGTTAAATAGAGGACAATAGTTTTTACATCAAGTTCTTGGGTTTCACTCCCTCTTCAACAGAACTTAGCAGCCCCTCCTGACAAAGGTGTGAGATAAAGACTGTATTTTGTACATTATAACCTGGAAATGAGTGATACACAAATTAGGAAATAACTACATGATAAGTAACTTAAATATCAAGACCTTAACACTGAATCAAGGATTGACTACATGACCGAAACCCATTCACACTTTTTGGGTTGCTTTCTCTATAGTTTCTTCTCAGTGCCTCCCAGAATCCAAACCAATATCCTTTTTGTGGAGGGTGGAACCATGCAAAGTACAGGACTGCCAGACAAGTGGATGTATGATGGCTAGCTTTTTACCACCTGGGCCAGTACAGTTTGAATGCATTGGCCAATGGGGCCTGATTCTGGTGGACCCGAGTGAGCCAATTTCCTGCTCACAGTGCATTCAGCAGATTACAAAAACAGCCTCAATTAATCCCTCATTCTGGGGATTGATACAGGAAGTTGTTTCACACAGAAGCAGTGGATAAAGATAAGATGTCTAAAAATCATAGTTTTCCATGTTGATGAACAAGAATTATTAGTTCAATAATCGGTAAACCCCATGGTCATTCCTAAATGTGCCAAAGGACTCAAATATAATCTATACTTCCTTATTTATTTTTATTTTTGTGTTCTCTGTGCCACTGATGCAGTTATCTAGGAATGAATATGCACTTAGCAACAGAATATACATAGATTATTTAATGTAGAAACAAATGTATACAATTCCTACCGAAATATTACGTTTTCAGTTAGATTAATTACTGTTGATTGCAGGGATTACATGTGTATAGTGCATGTGAGTTGATAGAAAAACAGCTTTTATTCAGACTCTTAGGACAAATTAGGGAGCAGGAGAGAACAAAAAGCGAAATATTTTGTGAAATCTGAATGTTACTATTCATCCTCTTCATCAATATTCCTGCTAAATAACGCAGGCTCTGTTTCATTAAAACTCTGAGTCTCCATTCACAGCTTAAAAGTTTGGTGAAAACGAGGACCAATACCTTGATCGAATAAATGATGGAAGAAATAAATGACTGACATGTGAAAATAATTTTAGTCATGTGTCAAAGTTGGCTGACAAATGAGGTAAACCCTCACCTATGGTTTTGTGTTTGAATGAAAGTCGACCAACTCTTGAATAACCGGTTGGTTGACAACTAAATGAATTAATAGGCGCCTTTCCAACTTTGACAGGTGACGTGGTGAATACCTTAGTGGCAGCAGAACGGCGTTGAAGCGACAGAGGAGCTGACAGAGGAGGTGGGGCCGCCGCCTCTCCAGGAAACACTATTTAATGAATAGTGGGAGTGTGCAGCGCTCGGGATTTAACACAGCAGAGGCAGAAGCATCACTCCAACCGGGAAACTACAAGTCATTTTGTCTCAGAAACAACGTCGGTGAAGCTTGAATCATGTGTGGTAAGTGTGTTTTTTATCGAGTTTATATCTTTCTTAAACTTGTTGGAAGGAATAGCGCGTATTACGCACGGGCTCCGGACCGATGTCATGCTCAGTGACACAGCGAGGAATTCGCAGTTATCATATCATACAGTGGGTTCTCATAGTTATTCTCTTCTATTCTTCTCGTTGTATAAGTGGTGATGAAAATGGTGATTCTGAACTGCAACTGTTGGATAAACGCCTCTGTTTTGCGATCTGTGTGGATGCTCGGAAGAGCTTTTAAACTGCTACGTGTCAGTGTTTTCACTCATTGGTGGACGACAGGACAGGCAAGTCATACCGGTTGATGTAAACAGGGGAAAAAAATGCAAGAGATTTTTTTTTATCTCGCCCCCATGAAGTGACGCACATTCAACAGCCAAAACAACCACAAGTTGACCCAATTTGTAATTGTCGCACATTTTGACACCCCCCCCCGGACGAAACTGGGACGTTTACAGCCGAGAGTAAATCTCAACAGTACTTTGGCCTTTCCTCGTGTCTGCAAGGAAGAGGCCAAGGCGGTGGGGAGTTTACAGCAGCCTGCCTGTACCTGGCTGATCCAACACTGCGCGCAATGTGCGTCCTTCAATGGCCAGCTGTGTGCCTGCGGGAGCGAGCTGCCCGGAACATTCCTACACACACACACACACACACACACACACACACACACACACACACACACACACACAAGGGCAGGCATATAAGGACTCATACTGTATAGTTTAGCATCAACTTGACTAACTCATATTTAATATAATGAGACTCCATTTCTGGTTTCTCCTCCAGCCTGTTGTGAGTTCTTGTTAGGTGAATATTGTAAAAATAATACAGCTGGCAGCTTGGAGTTCCCTCATTGATGTTCTTATCTTAGCCATGTTCTTCATTAATCGTCCAGTGATGAACCAGAATGTGATCTTTAAAGTAATCTAACAACTACTGCTTGTTTCAGTTTCAATATAATAATGATAATGATGCCACTGTGCTCTCTGCAGTTGCGCAAACTCTGCCTACAAGGTTTGAGAATCTCAGAGGATTCAAAGTTCTGTTTCTTTTTTCTCCCTCTCTAAAAGGGATCTTTGCCTACCTGAATTACCAAGTGCCTCGCACCAGAAAGGAGATATTTGAGACGCTGGTGAAGGGACTGCAGAGACTGGAGTACAGAGGGTACGATTCAGCAGGTAAGACACTCAGCTTCACAGCGTTGCCGCATACACACACACACACACACACACACACACACACACACACACACACACACACACACACAGAAAGAGAGAGAGACCATGCACAAAAGCTTATAGTACTCCTTGGCAGCACCTGTGTGTCATGTTCTTAAATAATGAAATCTAAGCAACATTTGACAGCATTCAAAGCATCAATTACTGTAATTAACCCTGAAATGCATGAATCTCTGGCAGCTAGTACTGCACTCTCATGTTGGATCCCAAAGGACATGAGCACACCCTGGTTCTTTGCACTGTTCTGCTGTACATGTGGTAATTTATTTTAAGGTCAAAATCATAATTAACTTGAATCAAATGAAGATAAACTGGTATAGCAGAAAACACCGAAACAGCTGCTTGAAAGAATGAGGTGGGGGCTATGCAGAAACACGTTTAATCATAACACCTAAAGAATAACTAGAGACATTCCTTGTAAGCATTAAAGTATTGTAGCTACCACTACAACTAAAAACTACTTCCGTGACGTCTTACTAACATCCTGCCACCTGGAGATTTAATAATGTTCACACACAGACTTTGTGTTTGTTCATCCTATTTGAGCAAGATGGAGTCACACCGATAGACACACACCCACAATAATTTACACCTCAGATTCTAACAATAAATTCTGGATCACCTCAGATAAACTATCCATCTGCCTTTTCACAATGAAATTTGATTGTATGGGAGACTTAGTGCCTTTCTTAGCTCACTATAAAGTATCTATCTTATTTATCCTTGTTTGCAGGTATCGCTGTGGATGGCCCTAGAAAGTCAACTACTGACATCAACAGCAACGCCATCTGCTTGATCAAGAAGAAGGGGAAGGTCAAGGCCCTGGATGAGGAACTATACAGTGAGTTTATGCACATTTGATTCACATTTCTGATGAGAGTTTAGATTGTAATGTTTATTGCCCAGTATTTAAATTTATCAATATATTATTATATATTGTCCTACTGTCCTATTGTCCATTTAGTTGGTGAGAGTTATTTCAAAATCCTAATAACATCGTTGTTTTTTTTTACCTCATTTGAAAAATAATCCTAAAAAAGTCAAAAGCACTATGCCCCCCTTCATTAAACATCTGGTGCTGTATTATTTTGTTTTTAAAGTTCCCTGCAGTCAAGGGACTGATTTTTTTTTATGCTTTAGCATTCCTTAATAGATGAGCTATTAAGTGTGAACTAATCACATAAACTCATAGTGACTTCATAATTTGTTAATAGTGAGCATCAGGAATTCATCCTGCATTAACTCAATGCATAAAAATCATCACAAATCTTTTAGTTAAGCATAACTTGTAAGTATATGATTTGTACCCTTATTATGAAGTATTACTGTTGCGTTTTGCTTGTTCAGAGAAAGACTCGCTGGACCTGGATGAGGAGCTATGCACACACATTGGCCTCGCTCACACTCGCTGGGCCACACACGGAGAGCCAAGCGCTGTCAACAGCCACCCTCATCGCTCTGACAAGGATAATGGTAACAAGTACAAATGTACTTTGATGCATGCTCACATACAGTACTGTATATAAATGCATATAACACCCATGCTTAACCCACTATAGATATATGCAAAATATACTGTAGTAATGTCAATATTAATGGCTGTTTCAGGTTTGCACTGAAACACAGAAGCTACATTTGATCATCAGGAGAAAAAAAAGAAAAAACACGGTTGACTCTGACCTATTTTTTCATTTGTCATCTTGGCTGAGCATCAGAATAAAAGGTTAAGTTAGTTAGTAATTAAAACACGTTCACACACGCTGTATTTATTTTTTATGCAGACATTTTTTTACAACGCCAAAAACAAACAAATATCAATGACATGAGTATAACAAAAAAAAAAAAAAAAAAACTGCCAGCTCACAGAAAAGTGGTACATATGGTGGTTACCTAAGTGGATTGAGGGTCAGAAAAGAGTCCATGGAATGAAGACCAAGTGAGTTCGAGCGAGGCCCTAGACGAAGGCTAGAAAACTAAAATCCTGGTGGATCACAGCACAATACAATAATACAAAAATTTACCTAGAGTCCCGTCTTACACTTATCACAGGTGGCAGAGACAAAAGGAAAGATTCTGTCCAGTGTGGTCTTAGAAAAGCGCAGCTCGTAAATGACTTTAAACTGAATGAGTCTAGCATTGATGGAACATGCTTTGATCCTATATAACTCTTTCGCACATAACTGATCTGAAATCTGAGTCTCTATGATGTGGAAAGAAAGGTTCTCCAGAGGAAAAAAACCCTACAAACTGTGAAATTAAATGTTTGGAGGTAGGGATTCTAGTCATAAGATCTTAAAAGTTTAGTTGTTTGGGCATCATATCGAAGTGAGGTAGAAACTGCTAACATTTCTAATTTAAAGATACCAAAAGTGACCAGGAGGTAGTTTAAATTGCACCTGAAGATGAGCAAAAGATGTAGTAAGATGCTGAATAGATATTAAATAGTTAATGTGAGATCCTAAATATACTTATCTGACCAATGTGAAAAAACAGTATCCATTAGGCCTGACGTAAAGCTGCAGTAATGGGAATGAGTCTAAACAGTGGCTCTGATTGGTTGTTTTCATTCAGGCATGCTCTGGCATCACAGGCCTAATAATATTGTCAGAAGACAGGCATCTTCAGCTTTTAAAAGTGCACCTTGTACATTCGGAGAAGGAGGTTAGTCTAGATAAAGAGCATAATTATTTAGCCTTTTATTTTAAAGAAGGAGGATGTGAGGAAAATGAGTACGTTTTAAAACGTGCATTTATGGAGTAGTACCAGCTTAATAATATTATTAAAGAAAGAGAGATTGTCATCTTTCATAATTTTAAGCTCACCAATCTAGAGTCGAGACCGTCATACAGATCACACCCTCTATTCTAACCAATTATACACAAAACTCTTTGTCATTAGTGTACCATGTCCAGGTGTGTCAATAATGCACCTTGGCTTTAGACCAAAATATGTATGCTCATAAAAGTCCAAAGTGTGAGAGTACATGTCACAGAAATGTTGTGCTACTAAGCAACTTATTTATGTTTTATTAGTATACTACATTTGATAATAGGCCCATTATTACTTGGGTATCATTTATGATAACTTATCGCCTTGTTTCTTTGTGCCTTTTTGTTGTAAATTTGGCTGCTTTTGCTGTCCGGCTCTACCACGTCATTGTGGTAAGACTGGATCTGTGTTATTTTAGTTGCTGCTTTGCCTATATGCTGAAAGCAACATTCTTTACATAATAAAGACCTGCCTTGGAATACATTTCAATGCTATTTTTAGTTTGTTCATACCTCTGACAAAATATAAGGAGTCTGAATCCAAATTAGCTTCATCAGGAGAGATTATATGAGTGGTTTTATTACAACTTCAAGACAGGTTTTTGACCTTTACCCCCCTTGTGTAATCTATTCATTGTTGCTGTCTTTTCTCAGAGTTTGTCGTCATTCACAATGGCATCATCACCAACTACAAAGAGCTGAAGGAGTACCTGGTAAGTCATCTTATCATCAGGAATTCCTCTTGTACAAACAAATGAGTTACAATCCTGTTCAGTACCATTTTTAACCCTGCCCTTCAGGTGAAGCTCATATTACAATCACAGGCTTCAGGTTTTTCTTCTCAGTGGAAAACTATTCGATCTCTGTCTCTTTGAGTCATAAATACTATTATTATAATATGTCAGTGTAGGTCATGTAGTTATGTTTACAAGTTAAACAAATGCACATTTTTGACTGTATAATTTACAATGAATATTCAGTTGGGTTTGTTTTGCCTGTCCACTGCACAGTAACCACTGTGACCTACAAAACAACAATATCATATTTATGTATTTGCATAAGAATTCAAAAAACAAAACAAATGAACGTCATAAGATAGCCAGAATACATTACAATGACAAAGTCTAAATTACTCCAGCTACCAGCACATCTATCTATTAAGACATTATTCAGTATTTCTGATTAACAAAGGAGTCATCCCTCTGCAAGATATAAAGATAAAGAAACACTGTTGGGGATAGTTTTTGTTGATGTAGGGAGACCTTTTTGTGACAAAAGCACAACTTTAAGATGACAGTGCCAGCAGAGTCTGTTCAGACTAGACTGTTGCACATAAAACATTCAGTGTGAAATTACTTCATCGGCCCATGCATCTTAAGTGTGTAATATCATCACTTTAGCCAATAAAGTATTGAAGAGCAACCTTGTCGGTCAAGGACAATTTCATTTAATTAAATTAGGTAGTTGTTTACACACAATAATATGAGACGAATAAGACTAATAATTAGATGGATGCTTTGCCAAAACTGCTGTAGTTTGAATATAAATTTAGTTTTGTTTCATGCAGACAATTATGGATTTCTACTGATGAGGGGAGCTATAATTTTGACATTTGTTTTTACAGTAAACCCTTTGAATATATGAATAATCAGCAGTTTGATTGATGAGAAGAAACCAGAATAAAATATTCAGGCGATCCTGCAGTCGTGCAGAATGACTGACAGTATGTCCTCAGTGAGTTTATATTTATAATAATAATGCAAACTGTATCTCGTACTGTCCTCAGATCACCAAAGGATATGAGTTTGAGTCAGAGACGGACACAGAGGTCATCCCAAAACTGATCAAATATGTTTATGACAACCGAGAGAATGATAGTGTCACCTTCTCCACCCTGGTAGAGAGGGTCATCAAGCAGCTGGTGAGTATAGCTCACACATAGCAACACCATGCCACAGAAACACACCAACCCACTTCACAGCAGCGCAGGTAGTGTTAGCTTGTTCATCTCTGTTTCGTTGTAATATTGCAAGATATCAGGTGTTCACTTCTGTTTCTTTCTTATGCCAGTGAGACTTTTACGTCAGCTGCATTTAAGGGATGGAATATTTTTTTAACTAGTTTTCTGGTAACTATGAAAGGTAGCATCATATAGCTTAGCATCATAAAATGTGTCATCAACCGGTCACACACACATAAACACACACTCATTTGCTCATTCTGCAATGGGTGAAACTGCTTAAATTTCCTGTCCATTACAACTCGGTACACCATCACAAAAACAGTCTCTATAGCAACCGCCCTAGCAGCATCACAGGTGACATCATCACTCGTAGAAACAGTGGGTCTTTCGAGGTGAAATTGAGCAAGCCTCTCTTTTCCATTGTGTGACTTTCGTACCTCAGAGCTTCACACTTTTGGCTGAAGCGAGTTCTCTTTCCTCAGGAGGACATAGGAGGCAAAAGCAGCCATTTTGGATTTGGAAGTAATGGGAACCAGATAGTTAGACCCACTAACAGCCTCACAACCATGACACCCTCCCCTCTCCTCCCTCTCCATGCTTACCCCCCCCCCCACACACACACACACTTTCAACACCACACACAAACACACTCATAGCCAGTTCAGCTTCTAACCACCACAGACAGCATTGCAGTCATTGCTTTCGAAACACAGCTGATGTTATACAATGGAGGTCTTATTTCTCCCCCCACCCCCTCCCGATTCTACCGCTTCCCAACGCCCACCCACACCCCCACCACAACTACCAAACCCCAAAGGGCCAGAAGAAACATTTGTTTGTGTTCAGAAAATGTTTCTCTTAAAGGTTATTCTTTCCAAGAATGCTGAACTAGCTTTGCCGTTACATTTTCATGCTCATATTTTGAGCTGTTTCTTCTCCGATTCCCCTTCAGCATTGCTTATTTCAGTCTTTCATATTGTAAACTCAGTGTTTCCTCTGGTTCTTTCCATCTCAGGAGGGGGCCTTCGCTCTGGTGTTTAAAAGCCGTCATTTCCCCGGAGAAGCTGTGTCCACCAGGTTAGTATACACACACACACAACACACACACACACACACACACACACACACACACACACACACACACACACACACTCTCTGCTCTGACATTTCACTTCATACTTTAGTCCAGTATATGTGCAGTGAGCCAGACCCATTGGAGATGACTCAACCCTGTTGTTACCGCTGTGAAGCAATACCAAATATGATTTTAGGAGACTCATTTTATTCAGTCATTGTGGATTATCTTAGCTAACACCCATTACATGAGATATGTTGTGAGTCTGGAACGTGCCTTGCTTTTGATAATAGCCAAATTGTGCTGTTTTTGCATACGCATGTGTGAATGTGTGTAGATTCCCGTCCGGCTGAATGCGTCAGTCCTATCTGTGTCTTAAGACCCAGGCAGAGAGGGGAGTAGAGCAGAGGTTGGATTCAGGTTCCCCCTCTCCCTCCTGGGCCTCTGGCTTCTGCGCCGCTGGCCTTACTCCCTCTTCTCTGTGACTCATTAACGAATAGACTAGAGAGTTTCCTGTTTCGTGTCGGGAAAATGCCCCTGCCAGAAAGACTCCTGGTTAATCACTTCTTATCATTTTATTTTACTTTATACCTTTCTTGGGTCAGTGACCCATCACAGAGGAGGGCAAAGGGAGATTGCTGGAGAATGGGAGTAAGAGAGGGTAAAAAGGAGGGCAGAAGGGCAATGGAATGAAGAGAGATTAGAGGGCCATTACGGGTGGTTTATGCAAAAAGGTTTTCCAGCAGTGCCAACGCAGGAAACTTTGGCATCTCATTTGTCTATTGTGTGCTGAAGAACAGATTCTGGTAGCTGATATCAGTGTCTTTTACAGCTTGGGTAAATTCATTATAGTGTTGTGGGTAATATGTTGGATAGTCATTACTGTCTCCCAGGAAGGAGGGATGGAGGAATGTTTGTAATTATCTAGTGATTCTAGTCACCACCCACCCTTTGTCAAGGCGCAGCCTCCTGGCAGGACTTTTGCTCTCTACTCAGCTTCACTCACTTCAATCTGTTGTTCTTCCATTCTCTTTCCTTCTGCCACACTTTCTTTAACTTCATTACTCCTTACTTTTCCTACATCCTTTTGCTTTGTGTCTTTCCCTCCCTAAGGGTAAATATTGTATTGGACAGCGACCACATGTTTCTGTTTGAATGCCTCCCTCCTCAAGCCCCACACCCCTTAAAACAACCAGTGATCTTACGTCAGCGTAGCCATGCCCGAGAGAAAGGCTGAGCAGAGAGAAAAGAGAGATCAGACAGAGAGAAGACAAGAAATAAGGAGAGGCCTTTTGGATACACAGTTTCTCAAGAGCTGGTGTCATAATAATTCACCATGATGTTTTGTTTTGCCTTGCCACAAGATGACTGTGTAAAGGTTTCATCTATTTTAAGGTTAGTCTCCTCACACCCTCCTCCCTCACCTGTCGAGCTACTCCTGGTTGCACCCTTTCTGTCGCTACAGCCAACAGGAGAAGCCCACATGTAATCAGTAGCCAATGAGGAAGCAGTGACTCGGTCCAGGAACTGGGAACAAATCCTAGAAGGATGTAGACAAATGGAGGATTGGTTTACCTGTCTAATGTTCAAGATTAGACAGAGATTTATAATAAGTGGGAGGTGGTCTGAGCTCCTGTCTGCACATGGACAAACTCAACCTCAGGGTTGTGTAGAAAATGTTGTAAAAATAATTTTACAGTGATTGACTTTGAGGTTGTACAGGGGAGAAAATATGAATAGATGGAGGAAAAGGGAGGAGAGATCATAAGTGCCAGGAAACTTGTTTTGTTTGGAATAATGCAGTAGGATAGGATGTCAGATTACCTCAACATTCATACACTTACAAAGCACCATGTGAGAGTGTGTATCTGACACTGTTGTGTGTCCACAAAGTCTAATCCCCTCCTGTCTCCCACCTTATCCACACTTTCTCTCCCTCCTGCTCTTCCTCTGTGCCCCGCTTCATTCTTGTCCCGGCAGGAGAGGAAGTCCATTGCTCATTGGTGTGCGAAGCGAGCATGAGCTGTCGACCGAAAACATCCCCATCCAGTACAACAGTGGTGAGCTCTGTTTCTCTCTCTGTCTGCCATTATCCGCTTACACTGCACCCTAAATCTCTGCATTAATTCACGCTCGCAGACAGACATACTGTAGGTACACACATTTCCCCAGCAGCATGTAAAGCGTTGATACATGAACTGAATGTAAGATTTATACACCTGAGAGAGTATTTGTAATTTATCAACATTTTAAATGATCTGGCTGATAATCACCTAACAGTATCTGTGTCTCCGAGCTGCATAAAGATACCCCAACAAGTTTATTGTCCATAGGTTTTCAAATAAAGGGATTCTGACTTCAAAGCCAAGAAGTATAAAAAATTTAATTATATAATTATATTTAAATAACAACAATGAAATATGTACTAAGACTGACCGCACTAATAGGAAGTTATGACATAGTTCCCTGATTTCTGAGTGTTTTGAACAACTATATTTATTTACTGTTCAAGAACTATACTGTGGAAAATATGTCAGTTATCATATTGTGTGTTACTTACACGTTCTAAAACTACTTTTAATGACATCTTTAAAGGATAAGGCAGGCGAAAACCCAAACCAACAATGCGTGCATTCTAAACACTTTCTGACTTCCCCAACCTGTCTGTGGTTCTCGGCCCAATTCATTCCTACTGAAACTTTAAATCTTGAAAATGGGTTGTAAATAAATATTTAAATTTTCGAAAAAAGACTAAATAATTTGCTAAAACACCCAGGCGCTGTAGTTTCGAGCAAACTCAAACAAGAGTAAATATTGATGGGGACTATTTTCAGCCACTGATATGTGCTAGTGAGTATTTACAACAGCAGGGCTGTGTATGTGGAATCAAGTCAAAATAAACTACAGCGCGTATGTTTATCGTAATGAATAAACACGTCAACCAGTGCAACGGTGGGACTCATTGATGTGTTTTAATAATTAAACAACAGAGCTCTATGGCACATAAATCAGGCTACACAGGTATGTTTGTTTGTGTATTTATTCTTGGTTTTGGTCTTTTCATAAAAATATATTACCCACATATACTTTCATGGATCATTACAAAATTATGCTAAAGGTTAAAACAGTATTCTGCAAGATTTGCAGAGCCTTGTACAGTAGCCTCAAAACATGTATCCTTTTCTCAGATGTCCTGTAACTGACTCAGTCAAAGAGGTGCTCTTAACTAAGGGTAAAAGTAATACAAGATGTTTTGTGGTTCTGTAATGTATGGTGAAATAATTCTGTTACATTTTCTTAGAAAGCCATTTGTGTTGCCAGGTTTTTCTGTGGGTATTGATCCTTTGGAAATTAATTTGGATACTTCCTGCAAAGAATGTTGTTCTCAGTCCCAGAGTTCCCAGCAATACAGAGTTTCTTTTGTAATCTTTTGGATACTCTTTATAATGAAAGCATCTGACACTATGATTATTCATTGTTAGCAACAACTTGATTGCTTGTTCCATTTTTGCTTCTGTGTCTGTACTGTATGTGGGACTTCACTGTCTTATCAGATAAGATATTATATATTATATTATGGTTCTTAACGGATCGCGTGAGACTACTCCAAAGTTCAAAGGCCCCAAAGGTGGTTTTGGGTCAGAAGGGAACAAAGCAGGGTGTGTTGTTTTAATAGTGAGAAAAAATCCTTTCAATTGTCTTTGGCCCTCTCTTTCTATAACATTTTATATAGTGACTAATCTCTCTGTTGTCACACATCTTCCTTAAAAGCCCATTGTTGTTTAAACAATATAAAACACCAGAGAAAAATTACCAGAAAAGACCATATTGACTCTTTGTCATGCCAGTGTGTACAGTTTGATGACAAAAGTTACAAATTCTGTCTGATTACAAATAATATTCACTGATGATTGCCATCAGGTAGTAACCAGTCACACCAGTTTCAAGTCATGTTCATTTGTTAACATGTAGCAATGTGGTCATTTCTTTCTGATCATAATGTGTTCTTCTGTTATCGCTTGAATATTTCACCTCAGACATTTTCTGATCTCATCATGAAATCAGAATTTCACGACATGAAAAACCAATTTCCACAGCAGTGACCCGACTACATCTGGAAGTTGAGAGGAAGAATTCAAGCAATGAGCACATCTTGATTGTTTTAGACACTCAAAGTCACTGTGCGACCTCTGACCCTTGACCTCTGACTTTTGACCCTGTAGCTCACTTCAAGGAAGGGGTCCAGGAGAAGAACAGCCATAACCGTCTTGACGGCTCCACGGCCATCAACTCTGTGGGGGATGGCAGAGCTGTGGAGTATTACTTTGCCTCGGACGCCAGGTGAGATTCCAAATGTCTGTGTGTTTTGATGTGAATCTGGTATGGGACCATATCATTGAATTCTTATTTGTCATTTTATTAATGTTCCTGACTTCTCCCCTGTCTCTCTCTACCATATATATATAAGTATATAAAGTTCAGTGCCTTTTTTAAACATCAGATCAGTGGACATCATCATCATTTCACTTGTATACATCTTCTCTGTACCCACAGTGCCATCATTGAGCACACCAACAAGGTGTTGTACATGGAGGATGATGACATCGCAGTGGTGACCGGCGGCAAACTCTCCATTCACAGGTTGAAACGACAGGTTGGTGAGGATCCAGTGAGGGCAATCCAGACCCTGCAAATGGAGCTGCAACAGATCATGAAAGGTCAGACAATAGAGTTAAATAAAGTTATTTGAGAACAATACATTGGTTTTATTTTATTTTATGCAAGTAGTAGTTGGAAATTTTAAAGAACACAAACATAACAGCGTCTAACAAATCCTACAGATTACATTGAAAACATACTGTATGCATGCAGTGCTACTGAACAAGTGTTCTAGTTTGTAAAGTTATACTGACTCGCCCTCTGCTGGCTGAGAGTGAAAACACAATAGTGTTGTCAGACTGTTCCAGCACAGACCCTACCTCCATATACCTCTGTTTTCTGTCTTATCTCTTCAGGGGGAAACATTCAGAATTTCCCCATATATTATGAGGAGTATTGAGCAGTAAGTCTGATCTATACAGATGTGCTCCTCCCTTTCCAGGTAACTTTGAGGCCTTCATGCAGAAGGAGATATTTGAGCAGCCGGAATCAGTTGTCAACACCATGAGGGGCCGGATTTGTTTTGACTCCAACACAGGTGACTAGTGATCTTACAACCTGCCCTGCCCTTTAAGGTTTCAGGATATGCAGGGCACCTTAACCCCTTCTATCAATATTAGCAAGAACTTGGTTTATTTGAACAAGGTTGAACAATTTTGAAGAGAGAACTAACACATGTATCCGCACATTACCCCATCTTCCTATTTAAATACCCACCCATATCTTTCAGCATTATAACAGAGTAAACACCAATAGTACTAATAAGCATGAACACATGGAACAATCCCAAAGATTTGAACTTGGTCATAGTCGCCTAATTTACTTACTAATATGTACTAGCTATTAGTTGTAGTCAGTATATGCAACATGGCATTCTATTGGAAGATTTGTTCAAAATGTGTACAGTAACTAATATTACTCTCATCCCATGAGGACCTGAAACATGCAGTGAATCAGCAGTATACTGGTTTACCTAACGTGTCTTCTGTCTCCTCAGTGATTCTCGGCGGCCTGAAGGACCACCTGAAAGAAATAAAGCGCTGCAAACGGCTAATAGTGATCGGCTGTGGCACTAGTTTCCACGCTGCAGTGGCTGTGAGTAGAGCTATCAAAAATTCAGTTTAGCACAATGATGATCATTTTGTGAGAAGCTATCATTAGTAGTAAAGTTCAAGACCTGAAATTGCTGTTTGTCTGGAGGGTGGTGATGGTGAAATTGCTGCTTTTGTTTGCCTACTTTTCAGACCAGACAGATTCTCGAGGAGCTGACAGAGCTGCCTGTCATGGTGGAGCTGGCGAGTGACTTCCTGGACCGCAACACACCTGTTTTCAGAGACGATGTTTGCTTTTTCATCAGCCAGTCAGGTGAATAACCCATTCAAAACCTGCATTATCGCTTTCAACAGTGGCCTTATTGTGCTGTATTCTTCCATGTAAGCATATCTTTTCATTCCCTCTGTTCCCTCAGGAGAGACAGCAGACACCTTGATGGCATTACGCTACTGCAAGAACCACGGTGCTTTGACAGTTGGTATAACCAACACTGTGGGCAGCTCCATCTGTAGGGAAACAGACTGCGGCGTCCACGTCAATGCTGGGCCTGAGATAGGAGTGGCTAGCACAAAGGTACACTATGGTTTATATTGTACATGCCATTTATTTATAACATCTTTTGAATTTGGAACCTTTTCTGAATTTGGCAACAGCAATATGCAAAACAGACAAGTGCAACACTTTGCATTCAATATCATGATAGGATTAATCTCTTTATAAGCGTCATGATAACACAGAATTTATAAGCTACATACACTGTTCAGGACAGCTTAGGGTTATATGAGTGTTTCTTGTGTATGTGATCCAGGCCTACACCAGTCAGTTTGTGGCCCTCGTCATGTTTGCGCTGATGATGAGTGAGGACAGGCTCTCCCTACAGCCTAGAAGACTGGAGATCATCAACGGCTTCAGGGTGCTACCAGGTCAGTCCAACAAACTCCAGTAAATCACAAACACAAAGCCTTTGCCTTGACAAATCAAGACAAAACAAAACTTTTGTTTAAAAAATATACACTAATTTCCACACTGTTATAATAATACCTCTCCACATTACTCATTATTTTACTCTCCTATAGAGCTGATAAAGAAGGTGTTGTCCCTGGATGAGAAGATCAGGGCCATTGCCAATGAACTTTATCAGCAAAAGTCTCTTCTGGTCATGGGCCGAGGTTTCAACTACGCTACCTGCCTTGAGGGGGCACTGGTGAGTTGAGAATGCCACAGTAGTCTGCCAAAACACTGCAATTCACTTCCGCTTTGTCTTCATATTTTATGAGGACAAAGCATTCGATGAAATAATAGAGTTGTCATGTTTTTGTGTAGTGTGTGTTATGTTAATATTTAGGAGAGTTTACTGAGCTTGTTTTATTCTTATTATTCTAATGCAGAAAATCAAGGAAATCACATACATGCACTCCGAAGGCATCCTGGCTGGGGAGCTGAAGCACGGACCTCTGGCACTTGTAGACAAAGACATGCCAGTCATCATGATCATCATGAAAGACGCCTGCTACACCAAGTGCCAGAATGCTCTGCAACAAGTCACTGCCAGATCGGTAGGTCCTGGTAAAGCACATTATACATGTACTAGGCCACTGAAACACACACACATTGACACAGGCACCTTAACACACATATGTAACAAAATGAATTGACCGACTGATTAATGTTAACGTTCTGGCTCGTGACGCTCTCTCCATCAGGGACGGCCGATCATCATTTGTTGCCAGGACGACCCTGAGATGACTAAGAACGCCTACCAGACCATCGAGCTGCCACATATTGTGGACTGTCTGCAAGGCATCCTCACCGTCATCCCCCTGCAGCTCCTCTCCTTCCACTTGGCCGTCCTTCGAGGATATGACGTAAGTAGTCAACACAATCTTTCACTCAAGCTATCTTTATAACTTAAAGGTCCAGTATGTAACATTTAGGAGGATCTATTGGTAGTAATGGAATACAATATGTATAACTTTGTTTTCATTTTTGTATAATCATCAGAAAATAAAAACTGTGGCAATATCCACAAATGATACTGACAGGAGGTTAAAAAACTGCAGTTCTATGAACAGCCACTTGAGGCTGGATACAGAAGTGAGTCAATCTGTAGAAGCCCCCATATTAGAATTCCCAATTTGACAACCTGGTACAAAAAAATCAGTTTTGGTAGCTAAATTCCCCATTCATAATAACTCTATGGGGGATGAATTTTTAAATAACAAACCCATTTAGATTATATCAAGGCTTAGAGTTATGCATTATTAAGGATGTTCCAGCTTTGAGTGACAGGTGGGTCACATGCAGCTGTTTTCAGTACCCAGGCTTCATTCAGTATGCCTCAGCTTCACCCATGCTCCACATCTTTTCCCATTTCTGGATTAGCCGAGAGCCTGCCAAGATGGTGAAAGCCAAAACTGACAGCACTGAGCTTCACAACAGCTCTTCATAAACCTATAGGTGTCTATTTTTAATTATACAGTCTGTGGTTTTTGTTACCTTAGAATGAGCTGTTTTTTATCTACAGAAACTGTGAGTTGCCTTCCACAGAGGCCGCCGTGTTGAGCCACCATGTTTCTACAGTAGCCCAGTCCTTAATAAGACAAAATCCACTTTTTGATCTATTGGAGCTCATAACGTCTAATACTGATGCCTTTATATAAGCTACATAAACAAACAAGATCTTCAGCAAGAACATTGGCTATTTCTCTGTTGTTATTGTTACTGCCTGCCACTGGGTTGGATTGCCCTTGAAATCAATGAAACGAGGTGGAAACACTACTACTTGTGCACAGTGGCCACCAGAATCAATGCCAAACGACAGGTTACCTTTAGCAGCTTTAATTATTTATCACCTGATTATGTAAAGGTCAGTAAACATTGTTATGTCAATGTCAAGATTGTGAAAATCTTTTAGGAATATGACATTTAAATTCACATATATTCTTAACCATCTTGCGCTTGTATAATTTGCTATTCAAATGCTTTCAGTTATATCTATTTGTATATGGCTTTGATATTGTTGCATATTATCACTTGAAGCAGTTCAGTCTATTTGATGAAGTTGATGTATTTGCCTGATTCTTGCAATTTGTGGGTTGTATCCACATAGTGGAATGCACTTACTGTCACTTTGGATAAAAGCATCTGCTAAATGAATGTAATGTAAAATTTGTGAATGCATTGCTACTGCACTGTAGGCAGTACAACATAAAATGTATATCTCAGTGTGTCTTTGATTTAACAATAATTATGAATATCAAAGTATATAAGTCTAAGTATATAATTTCAACATTTCAACAGAATTTAATTTACATGCAGCACAAGACTCTGGGAGACTATTTTTGCCTGCAGTTAATTAATTATTAACATTCTTTACTGTGGTGGAGACCAGCTTACCAAGCCGCACTTGCTAAAGCCGTATGTGTATCTATGTGTGTGTGGGCAGTGTTTCGCTTTGAAATGTTTCGAACGATTGCTTTTACATATGCGTAAACCAATCTGTTGCCTTAAAAGACATCTCTCTCACCAATGTGGACAGACGCCAGGTCTTTACATAGTTTACACAGTTATGGCATGTGTAATATCTTTCCACCACTAACTTGTCTTATCATATGGACATAGTGACTCAGGGATCAATGTGTACATTGTTTTTTTCTTGTTACACCTTTGGTAGAGCTGATCTTGTCTGTAGCACCATTTCTTATCCACCTGAACTTGTTAATGTGTCTTTGTTTAAGCGTGGGAAGGGAAGTGCATGTTTCCTAGTTTAAATACAGTGAATTTCACTTTATGTGACACAGCACTTTAACCTAAATACAAATTGCTACCAGTGTTATATCAAGTAATACAAAATATGTACAGTACAGCCACAGCCCTGATCAAACTGCTTTCTCTTTTTGCAGGTTGACTTTCCCAGAAACTTGGCCAAGTCTGTGACCGTGGAATAAATGCAGTTTGCAAAGCACAGGAGAGGAGAAAGGAGGCTCATAGATTTACAGTGCAATTGTGCAATTGAACGTTTTATTGTGTGTGTGTGTGTGTGTGTGTGTGTGTGTGTGTGTGTGTGTGTATGTGGTGAGGTTGGGGTGAAGTAGGAGGCTGTATACTTGTATGTGTGTGTGTGTGTGTGTGCGTGCAGATGAGGGTGTGAGTGAGAGAAAGTGAAAGAGGGAGGTATACGGTACAATGACTTTATAAAAACAAAAGAAATGTGAAGTCTGACCAATACACTGCTGAGGAAGTGCCAGTGCCATAGAGGCCTCGCGGAACAATCTATGAAAACAACATTCACACATCCAAAGCAACATGCTGTGCCTTTTGTCTTATCTCGAGTTGAGCCAAAAAAAAAAACACATACAACAGGCTTAACAGAAAAGCATTGATATGGAATATTGAAGTGTTTACAGTTGTGCAATATGGGGACCAAACGTGCATTATGAATGTACACAGTATGGTGATTAATTCTCTTCTTGTTTTATTAATTTTCAATCTATTGGGGCCTTCTTACCTCTCTTTGCATAATGGGAAATGTAGGAATTTAACTGTTTCATTCCAGAGAGTTCTTTGAGTTATGAATATATCAATATTGTATATTTTGTTGCACATTCATGCCATCACTGTGCCTGGTGGGTCATTAACCCATAATTTCAATATTTCTAGCAAAAGTTCTTCAATCTATCATATTATTACTTGATTCTCTTGATATTCTTTTGCTCCTTTTTATTGTTTTTAATTTTAATTTAAAATATATTTTATATCTATTCTGTTTAACAGAATTGCAATTTCCAAAGTCAGTTCATGGTAGAACAGGAACCTTTTTTCCAGATTTTCTTTATACTTATTCGTGTCATAGGGTGGAGCCTTTCCACAAAAATACATGAGAATTATTTAAAGAGCACTCATGCAACAAAAAAATAATGAACGTGACTTTCAATAATACTTTTGTTTTGTCTGTCATTTGTAAGGGTTTATAATAAAGATTATATTCTGTATTTATCTGATTTTTATTTTATAGGGGCTTAAGAGAGGGTTTGATTTATATCTTTATGATTGTATTTTATACTGTATGTTTTTTAGACATAAACAGGCACTATCAATCAATAAATAGATGAAGCATTCTATTCACTGTGTGCAGTCCTTATTTCTCCTTACCTGGAAGTGTTTGTTGTAGTAAGTAAAATCAGATTTTGATGCTATATTACTAAACTTGTAGCTTTATACTTGTATGTTCTTAGATTACCATTATGAGGTGCATAAAAAAAGGACTAACTCAGTCTATGGATGCGTATCTAAGATATATTGCAGACAAATACAGTAGAATATTATTGTTTATTTTACAATTCCCTCAGACCTCAGTTTGCTGGATAGTTAATCCATTTAGTATGCAACAATTGTGCATCCTCTGCAGAGGTGGGATGTTAACATAGGCACAGGGGAGTACTTCCTACTTCTGCTTAAAGAAATGCTACAAGATTATAAATCATGAGGCACTAAGGGGGGAAATAGTTAAAATTAGCTCTTCTACCAGCTATAACAGTAAAATGTACATGTTAATGCACCAAATAATAATACAATACTATACCATGACTCACACTGACAGGGGTGATTGTGTTGTATAATTTTTACTTTTACTTGGCAGATAAATTCTGTATTTTGTGTTTTACTTACTCCAAGTAGCCTTACTTTTCGTTATCCCACCACATATATTTATACTGATAGTTATAAAGAATAACATGCAGATTAAAAAGTTTTCCACAAAGTTTTTGCGGATGAGAAAAAAAAAAAAAGTTAGCGCCCACGTATGCGTGATGACGTCACCCGCATGCTGAGTGGGTACTGGTCTTGTTGTGGCGTTTCCCTTCCTCCGCACCCGTCCCTCTCCGTGCTGCCGCTGGAGTTAGCTGGGGGAAAACTGGAGGAAGGTCTATCTGTCGTGACAGCCCGTCCTCCGAAACTTTTCCGTGTCTAGGCTGTGCCCGAAGGACGGAGAGAGTGTTTTATCTGTGTTTTCGATGCATGGGAGTGCCCTGGGAACGGCGAAGGGAGAAGGTAGGTCTCGCCGCCGCCGCCGCCTCCTCCTCCTCTTCCTCCTCTTCCTCCGCTGTCCGTTGGTCCGTCAGAGCTTTCAGTTCAGCCCCCGGCCCGACTACCGCATTGCTGTCGACAGAAGTGAAAAAGGACGGGGAGTGTAGGCCTAGGTAACTTTGTAACCCACCAAACGCGACGTGGATTTAACCGGCATTTGTGTTAGGAGAGGAGGGGGGCGGGGGGGGACTTAGGTTGTGAGTGAACCGTTGATTTCAGTTCAACCACCGAGAGCCAGCGGTGCTGCGGCCGCGGTGTGTCACATACACGGGTGACTTCATACCTCTCTCTCTCTCTCCCCCTCTCCCTCTCTCTCTATCTCTCTCTCTCTCTGTGTGTGTGTGTGTGTGTGTGTGTGTGTGTGTGTGTGTGTGTGTGTTAGAGTACTTAATGTGGGCATTATAAGAAATGATGAGTTTCACACCTATGTTCTTCCACAGGGCGGTCAGCGTTGCACAGCTCACCCACAGACCTAATACAGCACGCTGATGTAACTACAGCCAAATGAATGACATGTCTATAGGCCGAGTATGCTGAGGGTTTTTAAAACCAAATACGAAAACAGCTGTGGATGCAATGACCGCTAACGCTAGTGCCATAGCTATTTCCAGCTATTTTATTTGGCATGGTGTGTCAGAGGCAAGTTCCAGCTTGTCAACAAATCAAAGCACCATGAGATTAGTCTTGTCATGAAAGTCTGAAGCATGTCAAAGCATAAACAGGGTGCATTGAGTTGTTTTAGAGTGCAGTGGGATCATACACTGTACGAGCAACACGTGGTACTAGCAGCCTTTTTTTTTTTTTTTCCATTAACACATCTTCAGCATCCTTCATCCTCTTCAAGAGACTGGTCTTGACAGTCTCAGCAGACCTCTCTTGTGCAGCTGCAGTAGTAGCAGTAGCCTGGATGTAGTTTTAGCTTCCCCCTGTGTGTTTTGTAACTCTGATGAGAGACTGAGTCTTCGGGCCATGCTAATCTGACATTGTAGCCAGCCCACTGACTCCCATCCAGCTGCCAACCCAGAGCCAAGGCCACGTCAGACCCCAAGGCTGGGCTGACTGAACTGGACAGTAGTCATGATGAGCTTGGGGATGAGGATGTTTGTGTGAAGGTCATTTCTCTTTCTCTTCTTCTTCTTCTTCTTCTTCGACTCCTTGATAAGAGAAGTGTTGAAATGAACTAAATCACATCGCTTTGTAAGTAATGAATGAAAAATGGCCTAAATAATAAGGGTGTATGTCGTATATTGGGGCATTTTGTCATTTTAAGTCTGGAATTGTTCTCTTTTCTGTCAGTTCATCTATAACACTGATAAAACATAGTTAAGGTAAATATGAGAATTACAATTATTTTGGTTGATATTGGAGCGACTGTAGTTCAGTTGCTATCTCGGTTGAACAGGTCGATCCTTGATAGTCGGGTTGGGGGTTTGATCCCAGACTCCTGTTGTCCACATGTTGAAGTGTCCCCAAGCAAAGACTGAACCCCTTATTGCTCCAGATCAATGTGTATGGGGGCAAATGTAACCCGCCTGCCAAATGACTTTAATTTATTTTGGGCTCTATGAATAAAACTGACTTGACATGAATTTGATGTAATATTAAAACTAATATTTTTAATAAATCTTTTCTTCCCATTTAATCTTCTGTGTGTCTCTCTAGCACAATATAAATGAAAATGCACTTACATGGTACCGGCAGGCTGTCTTTGCAGTTAAAGTGCTCTTGCATTCAGCCTTAATGATGTTTGGGAAGCAGACACTGGTTAATTACAGCAATTCTCAGAAGAAACGTCTGTGATCAGCCTGTTTGTAACTATGCGGTTAATATTGTGACTGATAAGGTGTAATTAATCATTAAAGCAAAAATCTGTTATTACACAGTTAATGGTCGGCCCTAGGGTTGGTATCTGATTTTTGTGGTATTACTGTCTACCAAAATGGTGTTTTTGAGACCGATTTTAGAGAGGGAAAACGGACCGTTACCAATATGGCAGCGGATACAGTTAATTTTGTAGCTAGATGAAAATAGACCACCAGCATGACTATGCAAAGTTACTCAGAAAGCAGCTTTCTTAAACAAATAACTCTTATTACAGAATATTTAATTATTATATTATGCTTTAACATGTTAAATAATTTAACATATTACTACATGGTCAACCAATTCTAGAAATGAACACTGAAAAAATAAAGAATAGGTAAAATAAAACAAATAGTTAAACATCAGTACTGTAAAAAACAAGACTTTTTACATTATATACTGGGAAAAAACATATTGCATTTGCATATCGGATGAAATATAAACCGACACGTTGGTCTATAGGCCAATGTCGGCTGATAATATATAATAATAATAATAATGATAATAATAACAATACTGTCATTACTAAGGTCAAGCAATGTGATAAAACATTTTTACTAAATATGTAAGTGGTGGTATCAGTAGTTAAGCTAAGTTAAGTGTTTTTCTTGTGTCTTTATATCCTATTAGTCTTTGATTTGTCCCACTTGTAGCCTACCTGCAATAGCCTAGATTTCCTTCGAGGGCATTAACCTTAGTCTACACTAATCAAATCCCCTTTAAATTCGAACAAACTCCTCAATGCCTGCTGGCCAGCCCAGACCTATAACAACTGCCTGCTGGTGTTTGTCTGGCTTTCTGAGCTTACATGCAATTTTCACCTCAATTTGCCTGTTTCTTGTCAGCGTCCGTATATCTGTGCTGAGTCAACTCTACATTTAGCCCATGTCGTGCGTAGCTTGGCAGCAAGTGAAGGCTTGTACATAATGCTGAAATTGGGTTTTGGTTATGATTAATGACCCCTTCACAGGGTTCTTCAGCTTGATGTGTGTGTGTGTGTGTGTTGTGAATCAGTGCACCCAAACGCTGAGGTAAAAAAAAATGCTGGAGAAAAAGTACCTCCAAGCTAAAGTAGCAGCGCCACTATTTCCCTCAGAGGCCAATGTGTTGCTGGATGCACAAAGTGTTCATGTGCTGTGTTGAATCTGTGGCCTAGAATCCATGCTGCCAGCATGTCAATGAAAACTTAATTTTTATTCTAACTGAGCAGTTGAGGTATCTTTGAAGAGGCCACAGGGAAGATGGAAGAAAACCAGAAAAAGTCAAAAGGGTGAGGGAATGTCAGAAGCATAAAAGAACGACAAAGGAAGACAAAGCCAAGGAAAATAGAAAGAGTGAGAGAAGCACGAAGGAAGTAAAGGTCTTTGCAGCTCTCTCCCCTTGGGTGTAGTGAGAGAGCCAGCTGGACGTACATGTGAGAAGGAGGAGAAAAAGCTGGGGAGGCAGAGGAAGAAAGTAGATGAGGAGATGGATTCATTTTTCATCTGAGTAATAGTGCGGTTGCAGACCCACACCTACTACATCTGAAGGCATATTTCTGTGTTTTACAAAGCAATGCAGAAAAGAAAAAGATGGCATCTTCAAAAGAGATTAAAAACCCGGGATTATAACAGAAAAAAGAAAAAAATCACAACAGACCAACAGGAAATAAACCAAAGAACCAAGATTACAAACAGAGACTCTGTGTGAGTAGATAACACAATCAAATGAAGACACACTGTAAACATGCTGGGAAATACCTGAACAAGATGCATAAAATAACAAGGGAAATGAAACTGAAGGAATGAAAATGAAACTGAATGAAGAGGGGAAGTGGGAGGGTTTGTATATAGTTTGTGTATTTGTGGTAGCATATGCTAATGTGTGTGTTTAAATGATCTAAGATAATAATGCGTGTCTAAATGGAAATGTATTTTTTATCAAATTACTCCCAAATCGCTGGACTTCTAAGGCTCGTTTTGCCATTAAAGCCGCAGTAGGTAACTTGAAACATACACAATGCAAAACCTTCCGAGTCTCTCTGGCGGCTGTTTTCAGTAACCAGACTTTATCCAGCCCGGCTCCACCCACTCATGTATTTGCCCATTTTTGGATTAGCCAGGAGCTGGCAGTCAAAACTGCCAAGCTGGGGACTACCAGAGCCACCACACTTTGAGCTTCACAATTGAATGTA